CCTCCCTCCCTCCCTCCCTCCCTCCCTCCCTCCGCAGCGAAATTCAGGCTCTAGTGCTCCCGACACTTGCAGCAGCCGCGTTCTGCTTTGAAACGTTTCGTTTAGCAATGAGCGCTCATGCTAAAGCGAGAGTTGACTCCTCCCACACTAAGAAAACAGGAGGGGAGGGGTCAGCTGAGCTCCTGTGTAGCGGAGCACAGAGAGGGAGAGAGACGAAGTAAACAAACAAGCAGGAAAATGAAACTTATCGCCCCCTTTTTTTTTACCGACCTCAAAAAAAGTTATCATGCAATTAATTGATTTATTGACTATCGCGACAGGCCTACTAGAATATACTTTGTCATAAGATAAGATAAGATAAGATAAGATAGAACTTTATTGTCATTGTACAGAGCACAATGAAATTACAGTTCAGAACACCCATTCAGAAGAAGACAAAGCATAACAAACATAGGAGAACAGGTGCCCTGGGTCTTGCAGCCACAGACCCTGCACAAAGCAAGGATAATCTTCATGAAAACATCATGAGGACACGCAACCCTTAAAAGAAAAACTAAAAACCACACAAGGGAGGACGAGGAAAAAAAACATCATATTATGTCAACAATGTGACACAATGGTGTTTGTAAAAAAAAACAACCTCTGCATAGAGCAGATTTATTAGCCAGAGAAGTAAGTTGAGTTTAGGGGGGCGTGTATCTGAAGCATGAGTGTTGTATGCTTGTGTGCATATCTGAAGAATGAGTCCGAAGAATCGAGTCCCCAAAAACCCGCACAGCCATAGTTCAGCATATTGATGGTAACTGTTCATTCTGTGCAGCCCTCAGCTTGCTCCAGGAACCAGACAGACGGGTGTAAGAGGTGGGAAAGGTGGAGGGCAGACCCTCAGTCGACGTAAACATTCAGGAAGAATTTAGTCCACAGCCCTTCAAGGCCATGTCAGAGAGCCAAATCTGTAATCACTTGTTTGGGAACAGAAGAGAATGTTTTAAGCCAGGCAGATAATAACAATTTTCCATCAACCTTAATGTCCGCTAGTACAAACCAATGTGGTGAATCCAATCAGTCAAAAATTGTGGACAAATTCCGCCGAGCCGTACTATCAGCTTTCTCCAAGATCAATTCCATATCGCCAGCAAAGTCCAGGGACCACAGCCAGCCCGCGACCCTCAGCAAGAACCGCTTGCAGACAGAGTCCAGCTCGCACAAGGCAAAAGTCTGAGCGCTGATAGAACGGCAATCCTTCATATTGGTCAGGCAGCCAGGACTTGAATAGCCACCAATACCGTTTTGTAGAACACCAGGAGACCACCAAGCCAATCTGTAAAATCCAGTGATCAGAATCCAGATATATATCCAGAACAGAGGTCCCACCTTTGACATGTCCTTCCATGGAAGAAAACTTTGTTCCAAAAAATTTTTAAGAGACCAGCTAACCAATTCCATAAAAATAAAAATATCCATAATTTCTGGTTTCGGATGAAAACGAAGAGAAGGGTCCAAGCAGCAAAGCAGGGAAGATAAGGAAGGGCAGGAGAGAAGGAAAAAGTGTCTTACTCCTCCAAGAGCAGAACAAAAAATGCCGTATTTGCAACTGACTTGCTGCATTCACTCAGTTTCCTTTAATGATGGGTATCACCACAAAACATAAATGCAGCTACACAGTAAGAGTGGGACCAAATGAAGCTAAAGAGGAAGTAATGATCAACACAGTCATAATGAGTCGGTTTTAGCTTATCTTTGCTTCTTGTTATGAACAACTGTTAAATTTTTTAGCAGTTTTCGATGAAGATACCCGGGTCACAGTATTACCATATTACCATCTAACACTACTACAGAGCGTAATTTGCCTCTGTTATAAACTGAAGCAATCAATGAGGTAGAGTTTACCGTGCTAAGCCACTAATTATATTTTGTAGTTCAAGCTCTTGGACATAACAGATGCATGCAGATTGTGAGTTCACAAAGAATACAAGAATTTTAACCTGTGCTGTTGTTGTTGTTGTTGTTGTTATTGTTATTATTATTATTATTATTATTATTATTATTATTATTTCCTCAGTGTTTGTTGGTGACAGTACGCACCGGCCATGTCATTATGAGGTAAGTCTGTTTAAAGCCTTGTGATATGCACACAGACTGCAGCAGTATTAATACAGTTTGTAAATTTAATATTAACAATCCTGTTTATTTTCACCTGTTTCATTACTGTTGCTGTAAAAGCCTTTTTTTTATTTTTTACTATGTTGAGGCTCTCAGTAGTATACAACTCTTCAACAAACCTTTTAGTGTGCAATATTATGAAGCTTGATACAAATAAAATGAATGCGGGAAGTTCATCACAAAGATTTTTTTGAGCCAGTGTTGCTTTGTTTTGCTGTAATTTCCTATTTTTGCTGCTTTGACCTAACAAAGTATATAAGAACATGGGGTGTACTGTATTATAAAATAAAAAATATTTTTGTCTTGTTTGTTACTCATTCTACCAATGGCAATCTTGTCCGTACTATTTTATTTAGCATTGCATATGTTTCGTTAAGACTTTTATCTAAATTGCTAACGTTTCACTTCTCATCCAGGAGATGTTTTCAATTCAAAATGTCTGGAGTAGTGTGGAGATCCAAGTCATCACCACACTACAGACATTTTAAAACTTTTTTTTTCTTTTTTGTGAATCTGCATATCACTTGAAATCTGAAAGAGATGTGTCTCACCCCTCAGGTACTCCATCCATCTGTGGGATTTGAACCATCCTGGAACATGGGAGAGCAAGGGCACATATGTCTACTATACAGACTTCATAATGGAGCTGGCTATGCTCTTTCTGGACCTCATGCACCATATCCACATGCTGGTAAGGTGTAACATGACTAGAGAGTTCAGAATTAGTGATGGGGTGAACAGTGAGAACAGACTGGCTACTAAAAGCCACTTTTTCCTTTATCTATTTAATCAATATGTCTGGGGATATTTCTTTATATGCATTATAGAGGTTTTTACTGACTGTGTTGTCGTGTTAAAAGGAGTGCCGTTCACCAAACATTGGTCCAGCACGTGGGCAGATGAGAACACAGATAAAGTGCACAAACATATGTGATAATGCTCTATGCTTTCAAAATTATTGATTTGTTTTAAACTCCGTGTAATAACATTGTATTAAAAATGGGCTGGTTTTGAATAGTTGGGACTTTGATCATTTTTATGAATGCATACAGACCATGAGACAAAATGGGGCTGAATGACAAAAACTCGAAGTACAACTCTGCAAAAATCCGGCCTCATTGCCCAAAAAAAGAGCTAAACCATAAGATGTGGAATTTCCATGTTGTTCTGTACATTTAGTTTATCCTGTGTGCCTCTTTCCATTCACTAACCCTCCATGTTTTATGTCTGTATATTCATCTGTTTAGCTTTTTGGTAACATCTGGCTGTCCATGGCGAGCTTGGTTATCTTTATGCAGCTGCGATATCTTTTCCACGAAGTCCAGCGTCGCATCCGAAGACACAAGAACTACCTGCGTGTCATCAACAACATGGAGGCCAGGTAAGAAAGTGTAAAAAAAAAAAGTTGGATAGATAGGCAGATGGATAGATGGATGTTACACACCATCTCCACCAAAACAAAAAAAGAGAATATGTATTTTAGTGCCAAATTAGTTTTTGGACATTTTTGTTATTCTTTTGACTGAAATACTTGTTTTATGGACATTTGTGTGTTTGTGCAGATTTTCTGTTGCTACTGCAGAAGAGCTCGCAGCCAATAATGATGATTGTGCCATCTGCTGGGATGCCATGTTGATAGCACGCAAACTTCCATGTGGTCATCTTTTCCACAAGTAAACAAGGAATCCTTTGTGTTTTATATATACATTTTAAGTATTCCTTTGATCTTTTGTTTAATCACAGTCTGAGTCGTTTGAAGCAAAGCTTTCTTTTACACAAGTATCCTGTCCAGTTCAGTCTGAGGCTCTGTACTCTAGAGAAAGTTTAGTTCAGCTGTCTTTACCAGAATTCCAGTGCAGCGTATATGTATACATATATTTTATTATAAATTCTGATGTCAAATTTGTAACGAAACTGCCTGAACAAAAAATAACGTCTGAGTTTGTGTCTGCAGCTCCTGTTTGCGCTCTTGGCTGGAGCAAGACACGTCATGTCCTACGTGTCGAACATCCCTGAACATTAATGGAGACGGGGTTCAGGTCAGAGGTCAGCAGCAGGGCGGTGGTTTGGAAGATAATATTGGCCCAGCTGGAGCTGCTCCAGACGCAAGACCACACATCAACCAACACAATCACTTCTTCCACTTTGATGGTATGTCTGCCCTGCTGATCCAGCAATCACAGGGTTTCCCCTAGGATTTTTTTTAACTGTGGTGGTGGTGGGTGGGAGTGGGGGGTTACTGGGTGTCCAAAAAATCTTAATAAAATGTAATTTAATAAGTAGGCTGTATTGTTCTCAGTCAGCCATGTTGACTGTTTCAGGAGCTGCTTGAGGAAAAACTTCCTCATTCTCCTCCTCATCCTCTTCTTTGAAATAGAGACCAAAAGTCAACATCCATAATCTTTCTGCTTACAGGTCAAACATTTTTATTTAAATAGGAGTTACAGTGGTTTGCAAAAGTATTCATACCCCTTGAACTTTTCCATATTTTGTCACATTACAACCACAAACATAAATATATTTCACTGGAATTTAATGTGAAAGACCAACACTACATGAATCAAAACATTTTTTTACAAATAAAAAACTGAAAAGTGCGATGTGCAAAATTATTCAGCCCCCCTG